GCAACGGTGGTGGTGGCGGCGGCCGCCATGTTGTGGTAGTTTGTTGTTCTCCTGCGGTGGGTGCGTGCGGAGGGACGGCGGGAGGTGGAACCGCCGGTCGCTGAATCTGAGCGCTGCCCCGTCCATCCGCTCCTGGGGGCGGCACGGTGTCGCTGCCGGGAGCCGCCGCCGCCGCCGCCGCCTGGGCAAGGTGAAGAGCCATGGCTGCCGCTCTGGGAGGAGGCGCAGGTGGGTGCCGCTGCCCCGAAGAGCTTCGCCTGGGGGCGGGCAGGAGGCTTGGGGCCTTCGTGCGGGCGAGGGGGGCCGGCTGCAGCGCGGCGCGGGGCCTGGCTGGTGGCGAAGGGGAGCCGTGGGCTGCGGGGCCTTCCTGGGGCGGTGGCGCCGCCGCCCCCCGCTGCTTCTCTGTTTCTTGCCTGGGCGGGGGTGGCGAGTTTGGCATACTCGGGGGTGCCGGTGGGGCGCGGATCGGGTGGGCCCCACGCTTCTGGGGGAAAGCAGGAGCTCCATTGGCACTGCAGGGTCCCAGGGGCTCGTCTTTTGCTAGTGGCAGTTGTCGTCGTGTGGTGATGGGAACTGTTGTCTCCCCTTGGCTGGGCCAGTGCTGGGAAGGGGCAACAGCTTCATTGCTCACCACAGGTGCGAGACCTCCGGGTGGGATGGATATGTTTAGTTAGAGACATTCATTCCTATAGCTTTTACAGCTACGGTGTATGACCCGTTTGAATAATTTATTTCTCATCTGGGGAGTAGTTATAATTTATTTTGCAGACTACCCAGAAGCAGAACGTCTCACTTGGAAAGTCTAAAGTGAAGTCAGTGCTTGACCCCAGGACTCTCAGGCATGCCACTGCTCTTCTTCTTGACTAAGGACACATCTCAGCATTTTAAATGACATCTCAAAACCCTCTGTGATTCTGATTGGTGTATTAAGCAGATTTAAAAAATAAAACATTTGGTTGAGTGATTAAAAGACTTGCTGGGGTCATCCTGGTGTGTTCAACACAGACACAGTTAAGAGAACACGTCTGTTTCTGGTGCTGTGGGCCTTGTTTTCACTAGGACCAACAGTTTTGATTCAATACTGGTCAGAGTTGTCAGTTGACCCACTTGTCCTTGTCTGTACAAAAGTTCGTGATGATTTTAGTCTTTTTTTTTTTTTTTCTGTCAGGTGTCAGAGAGAAGAGTGTGTCTTGCCCTTGTGATCACTCGCCTAAGTGGTCAGACTGATTGCCGTTGTTAGCTTAATTGTTAACAAAGTACATAAACACAATTAAATTTCCTCCTAAAGTAAATGTTAGAAAGAAATTCCCAAATTTAGGACTTGAGTTTGGGAAGACGGCTAGGAAGAACAGCACTGATTGGTAAAACCGTAAATATTTAATAGGTACTGTTTTTATTATGTTATGTATATTTCAATGTCATTGTTATTTTACAAAAGTATTTTTGCTAGTTTCAGTGGTTCAGATCAGTTATGTCATGTGGAAGTAAATTTTGGCTGCATGTTCTATATGGAAGTTTTTTTGGTAGTATTATGAGGGCAGAGTAGACTGTTGCTTTGGAAGCATTTTGGTTCTTGTGTTTAAAACTGCTGCAGGTCGAATGATCATGCTCGCATGTACAAAGCTCTACAGTAGACAGCCTACAACTAAATGGTGAAACTGCAGTTTCAAGACGGTTTTTTTTTTGCTGTGGGGTACCATTTGTGACTAACCATGAATTAGGTTCCTTTTGTACTAAGTGGGCACAAGCAGTTGTTTGTTCAGCGTTAACACTGTGCTGATGGTAGCCAATTAAATACGATCCTTGCCCCATATAAAGTGTTTGTTTAGTCTAGATGATCGCTGCTCGGCACTTGTCTGAATGAAGAAACCCATAGGTATCACACTCTTCTGTCTGTGTGACTAGTGACGGAAAATTCCTTGTTGAAGTTAAACACACTTCTAAAATGGAGTGAAAAAGCCTAAAACTGACAGGAATGGTATATGCAACTGTTTTTGAAAAGGGAGTACTATCCAAAGTGGTAACAAATGGGAAAGAAGCCCAGATAAGTGTTTGGCTTAAATGGTTTTGGTCAGTTAAACTTTTAGCTGTAGGAACTAATGTTTTGAATTTAGATTCTGGCTTCTTTGGGGGAGGGAAAGACTTTAAAATGTGGAAATAACAGCACCCTAGTATTTTATTTAAAAAAAGGCTCTAATGATTGGTGAAGTAGTATTGAATAGGTCTTGGAAAAATAAAGTGTTAATTTGACATTTGCAGGGTAGCAGTTCACAAAATGAGATAGTTTTGGCTTGGAAGATGCAAGTTCAAGTTTAGATCTTCTGTAAGGACATGTTGTAAGGCTGAAAAATGACATGAAATGCTTATGTCAGCTGAAAATACATTTGATGGAAGGCAGGCGTTTTGTCTATTGGACAGCATGTGTGGACTTATTGGTTTATAATTTTTTAGGTTCTTGGGAAGTACTGGCTTGATTCATAAGAATAAGGTATTCATACATACTTTTGTGATCAGATACTCTTGTTGGTGCAGCTAAGCTTTCTAAGGTTGAAGGTAAAGGCTCTTTTGGTGGTACGTTTCACAAACATAAACTGGAAAGTTTTCAAGTGGTGGTCTGTGAGGTCCCTTGGAGTGATTCACAGCTTCGTATTACTTCACAAATTCCTTTGTTATGCAGCTTAATTTAACTCAGCTCTAATTCTAGAATGCCTGTATTGAAACATGGAAGCTCAAGATTGGTGCGCTAGCTACCAGGGACTTCAGGGGCTTACAGTTGCTAATTAGATGGTTAAGACAGTGTTTCCCAAGCTTTATTTCAAATTTTTATATAAAAGCAGAACCAGAGCAAACATGTTGAATGTTGATTAACATAATCTTAGTTAAAGGGCAGCTACAAAGAGGACGAAGTCTCTTTCTTCACAAGTAACTACATAGAGAAGACAAGGGGCAAGAGCTACAAGTTGGACCAGGAGAGGCTTCACTCAATATGACACTTATTATTTTTTAGAATGAGAACAATCAATCACCAGAAAAACCTCTCTAGGCACATGATGGAAAGAGACTCTGTCACTGGAGGTTTTCAAGATGTGATTGGACAGGGTGCTGGATAATTATCTCATATATATTATCATATCATAATATCTCATCTAGGTTCCCTTTCTCATGAAAGGTTTGACCAGATGGTCTTTTGAGGTCCCTTCCAACCTGGGCTGTTCTATGATTTCATGATATCCGCTTATAGTGTAGCATAACCGTGGTGTATATGTGCTGAAATTTTTTCTTGGTATTTACTGCAGTTTACAGCTAGATTGTAATCTCATTTAGGGAGAGATGATTACCAGGTAAACAACAAACCATCACTAAAAGAAAGGAGTGCTTCTTATCTTGATGGTCTGTCATACCAAAGTAAGGGAAAACTATTGTAACTTTTCTTCCTTCAGGTTAATTTGCTTCTTCAATGGTCTAGAAGACTGAGTGTAGATATCCTTGGGGTGTGAATAGTGACAGGGGATGGGGCAAGGGAGAAACTGAAGAAGGCCCCATCTATACATGTCTACCTCATGCTTGTGCTGGAAGTCCTGTACCAAGAGTAGATGAACAAGTGTTTACCTCTGAGCCTGTTATGTTATTCTTCCAGCTTGAACTTTAGTTAAAATGAAATTAACCTGATGACAGCTTATCTGAGGGTTTCTGTTGTGCTCTCAGCAATGTAGTGGCTTTAAAAATCTCTTGTGAAGGTGTTGATAAAAATTGGAAGAAAGCTTATACTGCTAGCACAGCAAGCACCTTTCTCTGTGTTGTGGGTCACTGTCCAATTCAAAGATGTAGTAAAAATTCTCCAGTGTGACAAATTCAATTCAGTTTGTCGTGCTTCAGGCTATTCGGCAGCAGCATACAGGGACTGGAAATAAATTCTGCATTTGTGTGTAGATGAAAGTGGCTGGAGTGCTGGGTGCATTTTGGTCTCTGTGGGTAATGCATCCTGTTTTATTAGGTGGACTGATAAAACTGGTCACTATAACTTGGAGTTACACATAGTGGAATATTCACGAACTAAAACTCCTCTAGAAGTGTCAAAGGCCTATAGAGTTTACAATTAATGAAATACAAATATATGATCACAGGCTATTGTGCTAACTAAGGGCTAGTGCCAAAAGACATTACTACTTGAATGAGCTTGTGGCAGGCAGATTTGCTTTAAAGCATAAGAATTTTTAATCTCTTTATGCTGCTTTGACAAGTTTTCACTGGAAGTCACATTCTTCAGAATGTTTTCTCATTTCAGGTCATCTAAATTAAACATAGCCTTAGTATAACTTGTTTTTACAAAAGCCAAACCATGCTTTATACTAAACCTTAGATCTTAGGGCACATAGAACTTGTCCAGAATAATTTATGATGATGATTGCTACTGACTTGACCAAAAAACCTCCCCAGTATGTAATGTGGTTGGTCCTGTGTTATATTTTACTGTAATGCAGCTTCAGTTTTAACTATAACTTTTGATGGCTGTGTAAGATTCTGGAGAGTTGCTGTTTCTCATCAGTGTCCAAAGCCATGTGGGAACTGAGTTCATGTGGATTTCATTTAAGCTCTTGGCCTTCATTCACTGTTAAGCTTTTGTGAGGCAGGGACTATGACAGTTTAAAAATGTTTTTCCAAAGCAAATGTATTTTCAAATCCAAGCAGACTTTGGAAGAGATTTTCTGTGGCTTGGTGGTTTTTGGTTTAGGTGTAGTTGATTTAAAAAAAAAAAATGTACTATTTCTTTCAAGCAGTGGTTAGAGAACTTCAGTTTCCAGGCAGCATATCATAATTAGTTCTGTTCTTGCTTATTGCTAGTGACTTGCTTTGCATCATAATAAACTCCCTAAATAAAGTTGGTTTTGAGAAGGTAGAAAGAACTTCTTGTAGAAATTATTTTTTCCACTTTATTTCTTTAAGGAAACTAAACTATCTCATAGGAGTAATTTGGAAAGAAAACACAAAATACACAGGTTGAAGAACGTGTTATGCAATTGTTACAAATATTTAGTCATCGAATACTTAAGGCTTCTATGAGTAATTGTGTACCAATGTAAAGATTACATCCCTGTTTCTGAACAAATAAACTAAGCTGTTTGTGTCTGAGTGTGCTCTATTTATGCACGTGCTCTTGTGTATAGTGCAGTAGTAGGAGTGAATGTGATTTTTTTATGGTGGGGTAGAGAGCTTGATTATTTGTAATA